ATACCATAACTGAGACATTACTTTTGGGACAATACCATAAATGAGACATTTCATTTGAGACAATACCATTAATGAGACGTTACCTTTGAGACAATACAATAAATGAGACATTACCTTTGAGACAATACCATAACTGAGACATTACTTTTGAGACAATACCATAAATGAGACATTACCTTTGAGACAATACAATAAATGAGACATTACCTTTGAGACAATACCATAAATGAGACATTAACTTTGAGACAATACCATAAATGAGACAATATCATAAATGAGACATTTCCTTTAAGACAATACCATCAATGAGACATTACCTTTAGGACAATACCATAAATGGGACATTACCTTTCGGCACTGGGGGAGACATTAAAATACCAGGCACAGAACAGCCACGGTTAGCACTGAGAACAGACAGTCAGGTACCAGGCACAGACCAACTATGGTCAGCAACTGGGAACAGGCAGTCAGACAATACCTTAAATGAGACATTTCCTTTAAGACAATACCATTAATGAGACATTTTCCTGAGACAATACCATAAATGAAACATTACCTTTGGGACAATACCATAAATGAGACATTACCTTTGAGACAATACCATAGATGAGACATTACCTTTGAGACAATACCATAAATGAGACATTACCTTTGAGACAATACCATCAATGAGACATTACCTTTAGGACAATACCATAAGTGAGACATTACCTTTGAGACAATACCATAAATGAGACATACCTTTGAGACATTACCATAAATGAGACATTACCTTTGAGACAATACCATCAATGAGACATTACCTTTGAGACAATACAATAAATGAGACATTACCTTTGAGACAATACCATAACTGAGACATTACTTTTGAGACAATACCATAAATGAGACATTTCATTTGAGACAATACCATTAATGAGACGTTACCTTTGAGACAATACAATAAATGAGACATTACCTTTGAGACAATATCATAAATGAGACATTTCCTTTAAGACAATACCATCAATGAGACATTACCTTTAGGACAATACCATAAATGGGACATTACCTTTCGGCACTGGGGGAGACATTAAAATACCAGGCACAGAACAGCCACGGTTAGCACTGAGAACAGACAGTCAGGTACCAGGCACAGACCAAATATGGTCAGCAACTGGGAACAGGCAGTCAGACAATACCTTAAATGAGACATTTCCTTTAAGACAATACCATTAATGAGACATTTTCCTGAGACAATACCATAAATGAGACATTACCTTTTGGACAATACCATAAATGAGACATTACCTTTGAGACAATACCATAAATGAGACATTACCTTTGAGACAATACTATAAATGAGACACTGCCTTTAAGACAATACCATCAATGAGACATTACCTTTAGGACAATACCATAAATGAGACATTACCTTTGAGACAATACCATAAATGAGACATTACCTTTGAGACAATACCATAAATGAGACATTACCTTTGAGACAATACCATCAATGAGACATTACCTTTAGGACAATACCATAAATGAGACATTACCTTTGAGACAATACCATAAATGAGACATTACCTTTGAGACAATACCATAAATGAGACATTACCTTTGAGACAATACCATAAATGAGACATTACCTTTGAGACAATACCATAAATGAGACATTACCTTTGAGACAATACCATCAATGAGACATTACCTTTAGGACAATACCATAAATGAGACATAACCTTTGAGACAATACCATAAATGAGACATTACCTTTGAGACAATACCATAAATGAGACATTACCTTCAGGACAATACCATAAATGAGATATTTCATTTGAGACAATACCATAAATGAGACATTACCTTTGAGACAATACCATAAATGAGACATTACCTTTAGGACAATACCATAGATGAGATATTTCATTTGAGACAATACCATAAATGAGACATTTCATTTGAGACAATACCATAAATGAGACATTGCCTTTGAGACAATACTATTAATGGGACATTACCTTTAGGACAATACCATAGATGAGATATTTCATTTGAGACAATACCATAAATGAGACATTACCTTTGAGACAATACCATTAATGAGACATTACCTTTAGGACAATACCATAAATGAGAATTTTTTGATTTAATACCATGAATGAGACATTTCCTTTGAGTCAATACAATAAATGAAACATTACCTTTGAGAAAATACCATAAATGAGACATTTCATTTGAAACGCACTATAAATGCGACATTTCTTGAAGACAATGCCGCAAACTTTCAAAACAGGTGGCGAGTGCAAAGTATCATAGCGTTGCCACATTTTTTTTATTGACTGTTCAGCAAAAATCATTTCTATTAATTATCGGCTTTCTTGAAAAGTGAAATGTAAACTTATTTTTGAATCGTCATATGTAGACGTTAAAAATCATTGTCAGTTTTAGTACAGTCGCTTGAAAGTATTCAATGAAATTGAAAAGAAAATTAGTGACTCGCAATGAAATCACATTACTGCCATTAACTATGTTGTCATCACCTTTATTTCTGAATACAGGTCAGCATTGTATTTGGAGATATGTTTTTTTTTCAGACGTACTGGTTTAAGATAGCAACCTTCATTTCAATGTATAATACCTCTTTACTTTGTATCAAATATTACCCCTCCCTCCCCCAATTCCAATGAATGAATTATCTTGTTAATATGTTGTATACAATATCTTAATCTTAACAATAAACTAAATTTAAAGTGTGTGGCGTTGACGGCTTTCATGCTCTCTGCAAGTTATGCTCGGTTATTAGGCATCTTTTTTGGGGCCATGGAGAAGGTGTGTAGTGGCGTGAAGCTAGGTGATTAGTGCGCGAGCGCCAGTTTGAGTCACGCATGCAGTACGTGTTTACTTTGATTTGAGGTAGTATTTACCATGCCGTTTATTCGGTGTTATTTGCTTAAATAAATTTAAAAGACAGGTAATTTATTCAAGTCACCAATAAGTGTTTTGTACTTTGTTTTGCGTGGCTGTATATGTATTTGTTTGACACTGTATGATTACATAGCTTGTTCTATTACTCCGAGCATATCCTCTTGTATCATAATTATGCAATTTTCATGCCGTACTCAAGAATGCGTTAGAGCACTCATCTATAAATGACAATCAAATTGCGCGTTTTTTTCTTCCAGACTTTCAACATACTTATACATAATTGCAGAATATTAAATGACCAAAAAGTCGCACCCATTACTTGCACACCGTCTTTGCCCTATTTGTACATAGCTAGGAAATATAAGATAAGGGTACGCAATTCAAATATCCATTTATGGTGAAATGCGACGGAGAGCAAATCACGTGAGTTGTATGCGTGCGTCAGTCGAATTTGCTCTGACCAATGGCGTCACGGAACCAATGGACGCATGGAAAAAAATCGTTTCGTAAGCAGAAATGAGTAAAGTTATCGCCTTCTAAAAGACAAAAATCGTAACACAGAATCTGTAAATACGAAAAGATACTTAAAAACTTTCCCACTGACTCACTCATTTACATTAGTATTTTTTGTTTGTTAAGAAATTGTAAATTTGTGAGCAATTCGCGTGGCTTCATAAATGAGATATTTTTCCATATCCCACTAGTTGCGTACGTGACATCTTATAAATTCTTGCGAGCAGTAATACATAAAAATCGAAGGTTTTGTTAGCTCTAACTATGTAATTTTATTGGTGCTTGGGAGTTATCGAAGGAGTCATGGGTGGTATTTAGTGCACATTGCGCCCAGGTCAAAACTCGTACTCGCGATTTCCGTCAGAAGAGCACATTGGATTGTGGGAAAATGAATATTTATCAACACAAATGTATTAATTATATCCGCTAGTAGAGTGGGATAAACGTTTCACGCATGCGCGATATATACACACTAAATGCTCAAGTTAACCTACTTGAAAGCGAAATACGCATGAGAGCTCTGACCATACATAGTTAACAAATTCAAAATTTATCGCATTTCTTTGCTCGATTTACGCCATGTTTTCAAACATTATAAATAAATAAAATTCGGACACGAGCCTCGATCAGAGCGTCTCGTCACTGGGGATCACTAGATCCAGTTGGTACTATCTATCTACTTTCAAAAAAAAAGAAAACATGAACAAATAATTATGTATAACAATCCATGTAAATATTTACGTGACAATATAAAATTGATGTTAAGTTGTTTTCATCCCATGGAATGAGGTCAGTTAATACCGCCATTAAAGCGGCGTTCTGAGATAATTCATATAGCTTTATTCATTCCAATGATTTTCAGCGCGTCGAATTTACGGCGATCTTTTCGGCTTCCCATTTGGTTGTGTGTTCGACTCGGGTGGATTCGCCTCCCATCCGAATTACTTTGACCCAGTAATTTGGAAAAGGGGCGTAGCCTGACGGATTTACCATCATTTTCTATAATTCGCCCATACTCCAATATTACACAAAAGATTCTGTTCTGTTGAATATTTATCGCGAATAACATAAAAATCTTCAACAAGATTCACCCGATGGTGTCGTTTTTATCTAACAGGAGATTGAAAGATATTAGTATTGGCCTCGATTATGATGTATTCTATTGACCACGTGTGCACCAATTCCCCAGTAGTCCGTTGGGACTACTGGGATGATTAACCCCGGGCAGCACAATACTTCTACCATTCCGTTACCAGGCTCTTGAATTTCCATTAGTAAATTGCATTTGAATCATTATTGAGGGCAATTGGAACGGAATGATACACACTGTGTATTGGTATCGCGTGAGAGAAATCTGAACCGAAAAGGGATGACACGTATGCAAAAGGTCAGGAGAAATGACCTTTTCTGTAATGCAGTTCATTCTTTTCCAGCGAATATATAAAAGTATAAAAAGGGAAAACGAGTCCTTTCTTGAGTAGGTAATAAAGAAATTGAATCGAAACGTGTGATGAATTTTCGTATTTTTTTATTTAAGCAGATGAGAGAAGAGAGAGACGTGTGGGCTGACAGACACTATGGAGGTTGTTATCCGTGTATGGTGGTTCATATTTGTAATGACGCAGTCGGCATCTTGTGATATCGAAAACCATTTTATCCGGGAATACTCTCCACAGTTAGGACAGTTTATCGATGACGTCATACAATGTAAGAATATTCCTGGACTTTCACTGGCGATTGTTCAAGACGGGCAGGTTGTTATGTCAGCTGGCTACGGAAAAAGAGACCTGGAACACCAACTCCCCGTCGATGAGAACACTGTGTTTCCCATCGGTTCTCTGTCAAAAGTGTTTACGGCAGTGACCCTGGCGAACATTCTGGTGGATTTAACGGATCTGGAGTGGGACACCCCGCTGCACAATCGTCTTGGCGACAGTTTCCAGTTGCCGGGAAACTTCCGAACCGATGAAGTATGTCTCAGAGATCTTATGGCTCATAAGGTCGGGTTAGAAGAGAGTTTTCTGTTGTTGGTGATGGATACCAACATGACAAAACAAGAATACGTACGGTATGTTATTCTGCAGTAATTCACATTCCAATCGTACTTGACAGAAAACATAGCATTATTCGTTATATTAAATAATAGAAACGCTAGTGCATTCATAATTCGAATTTTTTGATAAATCTATAACTATAAATCATAATATCAAACAAAATCATTTAAATATGGTAGGAAAATGCAAAATTACAGAGAATATTTATAGTTTTTTTTTTCATTTTGCAATAAATTGCTGGTTATGATTTACTGAAAGGCGGCCATCTTGTAAGTATTAGTAAGAGCCCTGAGTAAAAGTGTTTTTACCATAAGTTACTATGGCATAAAATGTATGCCTTATCGAACGAATTTGGCGCATATCATTCACAGTTGTGGCGTTTAGTCACTAGCTTATATGGAATGGTAAACGTCGCAATATTCCCGCTGAGGTTGCTTAGTACAGTTTCATGTTTTTAGAATTGTTTTATATTTTGCGAATAGATTTTATATAAGTTTATCGTAGGAGATTTCGCGTTAGAGTACGTTCTATCGTCAATATATTTGCATAGGCTAAACTATTGAAACTGTCGAATCTTTAAAACAAAAAATCAAAAATATAGTTTTCGACACATTGTTCCGTTATTTCGAGTTTCACCAAAACGTAAAGAATTGGATATGTTTACCCCCACCGCCCCGTGCATGGAGTCCCATGTATTAACTCTGTAATCCGCGAAAAGTACTATGATAATCATGTTTATCCGCAAAAACAGTCCGTGACCCCAAATTTGTGTTCACATATGACCTTGTATAGCAATAAGCAATGTATGCGCAAACTATAAAAAGAAAAAAATCCGAAGACTTTCATGGGACTGTATCGAACAAACTCAAACGCTATCGCTGCAATGCATGTTCAGTATGCAGAGAAAAGCAACTTATGCGGTGGTACCATTATTTGTTATAGCGAGAAGAGAATTTCAGACTGGATAACAACAATTACTCGAATGATGATACAATAACTTTAACTTGTAATAATATCGACTGATTTGTTTATTTTGAGAAATTAACGTTAGCAGGATATTTTTCTGGCGATTATCCATTATCGTTGGCGACTGGGTTCTAAAAATAGTATTTTTTAACTAATATTTGGCCAAACGCTGTTTCATGACACCGTGAAACTAAATTTCCATCACAGTTCCTCTATCAGATGGACTGTGGAAAATGATTGTATATAATAAACCATTGTAATGCGACTTATGACCAACTTTCCCACAAATTATGGATTGGCTTCTACCTACCTACAAATGAATGACACGATATCTCAACTAGTATACCAGTACCTTTTGAATCAGCTTCAATGTGGTTTCAAATTTTAATGAAATCACAGTTAGACATTTATATACTGTTCCAATTGTACTTAAGTGTTCCTTTTCGCGTTTTTTTTCTAGTCGGTTGCAGTATTTCGATGAACAATATCCGTTTCGAAGTCGATTTCATTACAGTAATGCAATGTACACGTTAGCTGGTCACGTGGCTGAAATCGTCACCGGTGACAGCTATGAGAACCTTGTTAGAGACAAAACATTGCGGCCATGCTCAATGAAAAATAGCGGGTTTGCTGCGGAGATATCGGAGGATACAAACAATTTTGCTGTTTCCTATTTGTGGAACTCTACTTCTGGGAAATATATTTCTTTGCCAAAAGATCTTTTCAGGTATGTATGTTCGTTGTTGTATTACAGTCAAACTTCATTCGGCGTAACGCGTCTTCTATTTGCATTACGTCACCGAGAGACGCGCAAAGGATTACGGTAAAAGTAAACCATTTGGCTAATCTGGAACACACGGGGTGAAATGCAGTGAAATATGTTTACCACCTGCCGGGGGAGGGATTCTCTGAATAAAATATGATACGCAAGCTGAAGTAAAAAAACGCGTAAAAGTGGTGTTACATGTATCTAGTTATTTGACGCGTATACGCGTGTACCGGATGAAACTTAGAATATAGTAATAAAGTGTGAAAAAAGGAATCTCATGAATTCATGTTACCTCAACTTGGAAACAGTATGATTTTAGTATGTATATAGGGTATCTATTTTAAGTTTCTGCACTTGAAAAAGGGTAAAAAGTTGACAAAAATAATTACGTGTTTAAAAGTCTGACTTGGAGTACCGAGACCTCCTGACACGTACATACACACACACACACTAACAAAGCCGTACGATGGTACAAAATTGGACACAATAGTGTACCTAACGATAACTGAAACCACTCTTGACCATTATACCTATTATTGTTCGGTCCGTAATATAGAAAATTTAACGAGTAACCAATTTGGTTATTTGGTAAACCGAGTTGTTTTGGTAAAAATCATGTAAATGGCATGAGACCTTCTAATAATTATGTCCACTTGTAAAAAAAAATCAAAAACATGTACTTCTTGAAATAAATAATTACGTAATATATATAATGTCGTCACTTTATCTCATCTAGCAAACTGTTAGGATAATTATGTGTCATTGTAAATAATGGGCAACGCCGTAATATTAACAAAACTGGTTTAATTATCAAATGTCACGCGTTCTTCTTTAAGTTGGTGTTGCGCTTAACGATGGGTGTTCGGATATATGCTAGTTAAAAAGATTCATTATCATGACATTTATTTCTCTCTTGATATGCCAGGATCGTGGGTCTACATTCTCCGGCGGGGGGCCTGGTATCCAACGCAGTTGATATGGCTCAATTTATGCTACGTTTTCTGAACACCACAATGGACAGCAATGCAAAGGAGGCGTACAAGGAGATTGTCTCACCACAGTTTGCATTGAATGGATACAGCAAGCAGACCAGGAAGTTCTTTCCGGTCGCTGACGTCGAAACAGATTACGCCATGGGCTTAAAGAATGGCATTTATCGAGGTTGGTGTCACAGGGGGCGCCCTGTTACCCATGGTCCTTTCTTTCCATCAAAATTCGCCAGAAATTGGAAGCAATCAACTTGATGTTTAATACCTAATTCTCACACAAATAAAAACAACATGGATGGCATAATGTATTAGATGTTGATTCACTACACGCTACATTGTAGTTTACATGGGATATTCGTTTCATTATTATCATTTTGTAGCTATTCATTCAACCACAGTCACAAGGACTATGATTCAACAATATATAGTGTGTTAACTCGTAGTCATCACGTGACAGATGTCAATACATAGAGCCCATACTTTGATGACGTATACGTTATGTTTCAATTTTCAGGGTATTCAAGGTTGTCACACTCTGGGTGGTTTGCGGGTTTCAACTCGCTATTGTGGTTTTATCCTCATAAGTCCACCGGAATCTTCACTGCTATCAACGGACCATATACATCGGAGGCGGATGGCGCCCTCAAGCGAATCCATGCATACGCCACTGATCTGCTCATGGGGGAAGAGCCGTGGATGAATTCGTCAACTGCGTGCAGCTATCCGTTGCCATGGCGACCCACGCCGGTCAAAAGCACGGACACTAAACAAGAATTCGTGATAGATACTGAGGACGATGAGAAAATGTATCTTTTGGACTACGTTGGGTCTTATCTTCATCCGGGGTTTGGACATTTGAGTATTTATATGGGCGAGGATCTAAGTCTGCGCTTTACATACGGGAACTTTGGTCGGGGGACGCTTAGCGTCACACCACTCAGGGACGTCTTTGAAATCACCATAGAATCGCCGATTTGGTATTTATCTGCGGGTGTTAAAATCGTATTTCTAAGAGCGAACACAGCGGAAGTTGAGAAAGTCCAGTTTCCGGTGGAAGACGGTGAGATTCCGCCCGTATTTCACAAAACAATTCAACGCTCCAGTAACGTTGCCAACTGTGTCAATTCAAACATGACGAATTGCGTCAATTTTTTCGGTTGTCTGTTTCATACTCTATTTTTTCTACTTCAATTTAAATGTTTGTACTAGGAGACAGCTCCAGGTATTGAACCTTCTCCGACTTTTTTCAAGTTTCATATTCGATGATTCAATATGGACAAGAACATATATATATAGTTAATGTTGTTGCTGCATGTTGGTGAACACATAGGATAATGATTTATCATGAACTAAAAATTTTGTTTTTCTAGCGCATATTCGCTCGATAAAACAATGGCTTTATCTAATGCGCATGTGCACTGATTGTTTTTGTACGTACTACAATCTCCGTTACTGCGCATGCGTAATAGTAACATTTTTACTTTACGACTAATCATAATCACATTTTGTCATCAGCATGTGGTTTCAAACAATATTATTACAAAACATGTTTTCGTCGAGAACACAAGTCAATTTTAACCACAAGAGGATACGATCAGCGGCATTTACCTGCATACGAAAAAAAAGTCATAGGACCGGGGGCCGCGTTAAATGCGATTTTAAATCTCGGAACTCGATCTGTCACCATGCGACCCAACAACCACTACGCCAAAAACGGTGATCAGTTGTGGACTCTTTCCCTGATCACCATTTTATGTACTTAGTGATCTGTGATTTGCATGTCCGTTTGTCCACGTAATGTTTGTTTTCTCGTGAAAAAATGGATTAATGTTTATTCCAATTTTATTTAATATTACTTAATGTGAAATTAATGTGAAATATGTACATTTAATTAACCGATGATACGTGTATATTCCTATAATGCATTTTGATTATATCCACTAAACTGACTCCTCTCGCGATCCGTCAATTTCCTTGGCACATCTGCATCTTAAATTACGCTGTATATTTGTTTTTTCTACGTCATCATTTTTTGTTCGTAGCTTGTCTTGTCATAATCACTATTTCTGTTGTTGATACGAACAATTATTTTTCTGATTTGTAAAACATGGTCGGGACAATGGAAGATATGTGGTATTTAACCGTATATCTCTATTCTGTATATTATGTGTACTGGGCGTTTACCGGTGGTGGCGGTGGTGGTGGTGGTGGTGGGGGGGGGGGTCACGAAGTACCTATTCAAGTCAAGTTTGAATCTCGCCTGCATCATGATATATGTCCCCAGTGTTCGATTACGAGCTCTTCTATAATCACGTAAATCACGTGATGATAACGTGACGTAGCATGCACCGTGCGAATATAATCAAGGCATGACGTATACATAGTGATATGTTAACTCTGGGTGTTACATGTAACTATGTAAAGACGAACATAATATTGCATGGCAAAGTTAACACATACTGTAAATAAGTATAAACTCGCAAAACAAAGAAAATTTCTAAAAACAACACATTAATAGACAACTCTGAAAATATCTTAATATTATATACTACTATAGCTCAGGGTATTCTTGCGCCCTCTACCGACGCCTACAAAATATCACAGTTGCCAATAGAGGGCTGAATTCAGTAACAATGTATTGCTTGGATTTGTTTTCTTTAGAGGCCTGCATGAATTTAGCGTGAATTAAGTTTTTGATTTATGAACAGTAAATACTGATTTATCACATAAGGCGAGTGTCAGGGGCGTGGACTATTTATATTTCGTCTTGAAATTGTGCTGTGGATTTTAAGAGTTGCGCGGAATCCAAAAGATCAAAGGGAAGAGAGAAACACTTGCCAGGCCTTTACGTTAATGATAACAAATGCACTGAAATACAATTCTTCATATAAAATGTTCATTTCCGGTGTAACATCATCGCATTTATGTCAACAACATATTATGCAATACAGAAATTGCGGCTTGGATATAATCTGGTTACTTCTTTAAAATTTAATGTTTGTGACATCATTGGTGAAATATTCTGTGACTATAGTATAGTGCCAGTATTATTATTATTAATTGGCAACGTGGAATATCCCACATTAGGTTACTAGCCAAACGTCATTATTTATTCCTCGAAAATGAGACGAAAACCATTCTGTGTCCCCTTTATGATTTTAAGTGTTGTACCATAATTTTAGATAAATTACAATAAATAAAAAATAAAATAATTTAAAAAATATTCCTGTTTTTGCGAGCAGAAAAAGCCGTAAATACAAATTTGTATTGACGCTACGAAACTATTTTTACGAATATAGTTTTCATGTCCAGTGAAAATTAGCCAACCAACCGAACAGACCATAATAACTACAGCACAGCGTCCATTGTAAGCGACGTGATGTTTCATGCACAACGTATCGTTACAGTGGACTCTCAAATAGTGATTTGAATAAAACTCACCCCCTGGTATTTTTGGTCCGTGAAACCATGGTTACTAAAGTAAGTAAAGTGAAGGTTTTAGTAACCATGGTGAAACAGAATAAACACATTATTAATCCATCAAGCACTAGTACAAATGATGTTCAAGACGCCGCTTGTTTTAAATTATTATTGTTAGGTGTTAAAACACACCCGCGTATTGGAAATAGAGTACTGGATTTCTACAAGCTTCATGCCCTATGTACCGTCAAGATGAAGTTTTGTAGCTCTCGCAACATAGCCAGGCTCAGCAGATTTTAAAAGAAGTATTGTAATTTGAGTCACGTACTTATCCAAAGTATGGTCTTTGTTCTGTTTGAATAAGAATAGCGTAGCTGTAGCTGTAGCTGGGACATACGCAACACAGCATTGCATAAAGTCAAACAAAAGAAAACAATTCAAAATAAATACATAAATAATGAAGCTTACATTAATTGTATTAAACTATATGAATTGATTAGCCCTTCCTGTTCGTCTCCTCCAGCGTCAGTAGAGATATTCACTGAAGAAAACTATTGTCTTCATCCCCAATCATTAAGTAACTGTCTGTAACCTTCACAGTAAATTGGAGATGATTGGACAACGTCGAGGCTCACTTCTTAGCTATGTGCCAGGACTGATGAGATGTTATTCTATCCTGTTTCCAGGTGTATAAGCGCAGATTGAACAACCATATTCAGAGCTGAAGGGCAGGTCCTCCAACTCTTCAGAGTTGATAAGAAAACTCTGCCCTTTTTTACAATGAGTCAGAGCTGATATAACCTCCATAAGTCAGAGCTGAAGATCAACTCTCCATCTCCTCCATAATGAGTCAGAACTAATGGGACAACTCTCCCTTTTTTACAATGTGTCAGAGCTGATATAACCTCCCTATGTCAGAGCTGAAGATCAATTCTCCAACTTCTCCACAATGAGTCAGAACTGAAGGTCAACTCTGCCCTTTTTTACAATGTGTCAGAGCTAATATAACCTCCGTAACTCAGAGCTGAAGGTCAACTCTCCATCTTCTCTACAATGAGTCAGAACTGAAGGTCAACTCTGCCCTTTTTTACAATGTGTCAGAGCTAATATAACCTCCGTAAGTCAGAGCTGAAGATCAACTCTCCATCTTCTCCACAATGAGTCAGAACTGATGGGACAACTCTAATCTTCTTTACAATGAGTCAGAGGTGATGTAACCTTCGTACGTCATAGCTGAAGATCAACTCTCCATCTTCTCCACAATGAGTCAGAACTGATGGGACAACTCTAATCTTCTTTACAATGAGTCAGAGGTGATGTAACCTTCGTACGTCATAGCTGAAGATCAACTCTCCATCTTCTCCACAATGAGTCAGAACTGATGAGACAACTCTGCCCTTCTTTACAATGAGTCAGAGCTGATATAACCTCCATATGTCAGAGCTGAAGATCAACTCTCCATCTCCTCCACAATGAGTCAGAGCTGATGAGACAACTCTGCCCTTCTTTACAATGTGTCAGAGCTGATATAACCTCCATATGTCAGAGCTGAAGATCAACTCTCCATCTTCTCCACAATTAGTCAGAACTAATGGGACAACTCTCTCTTCTTTACAATGAGTCAGAGCTGATATAACTTCCGTAACTCAGAGCTGAAGATCAACTCTCAATTTTCTCCACAATGAGTCAGAACTGATTGGACAACTCTAATCTTCTTTACAATGAGTCAGAGGTGATGTAACCTTCGTACGTCATAGCTGAAGAACAACTCTCCATCTCCTCCACAATGAGTCAGAGCTGATGAGACAACTCCCTCTTCTTTACAATGAGTCAATGCTGATATAACCCCCGTAAGTCAGAGCTGAAGATCAACTCTCCATCTTCTCCACAATGATTCAGAACTGATGGGACAACTCTCATCTTCTTTACAATGAGCCAGAGCTGATATAACCTCCGTTACTCAGAGCGGAAGTCAACTCTCCATTTTCTCCACAATGAGTAAATACTGATGGACAACTCTCTCTCTTCTTTACAATGAGCCAGAGCTGATATAACCTCCGTAACCCAGAGCTGAAGATCAACTCCATCTTCTCCACAATGAGTCAGAACTGACAACTCACTCACTTCTTACAATGACGCAGAGCTGGTATAACCTCCGTAACTCAGAGCTGAAGGTCGACTCTCCATCTTCTCCACAATGAGTCAGAACTGATGGAACAACTCCCTCTCTTCTTTACAATGTGTCAGAGCTGATATAATCTCCGTAAGTCAGAGCTGAAGGTCAACTCTCCATCTTCTCCACAATGAGTCAGAACTGATGAGACAACTCACTCACTTCTTACAATGACTCAGAGCTCGTATAACCTCCGTAACTCAGAGCTGAAGGTGACTCTCCATCTTCTCCACAATGAGTCAGAACTGATGGAACAACTCCCTCTCTTCTTTACAATGAGCCAGAGCTGATAAAACCTTCGTAAGTCAGAGCTGAAGATCAACTCTCCATCTTCTCCACAATGAGTCAGAACTGATGGAACAACTCTTCCCTTCTTCACAATGAGTCAGAGCTGATATAACCTCCGTAACTCAGAGCTGAAGGTCAACTCTCCAACTTCTCTACAATGAGTCAGAACTGAAGGTCAACTCTGCCCTTTTTTACAATGTGTCAGAGCTGATATAACCTCCGTAAGTCAGAGCTGAAGATCAACTCTCCATCTCCTCCACAATGAGTCAGAACTGATGGGACAACTCTCATCTTCTTTACAATGAGTCAGAGTTGATGTAACCTTCGTACGTCAGAGCTGAAGATCAACTCTCCATCTCCTCCACAATGAGTCAGAGCTGATGAGACAACTCTGCCCTTCTCCACAATGAGTCAGAACTGATGGGACAACTCTTCCCTTCTTTACAATGAGTCAGAGTTGCTTGGACAAATCTCACCTTCTTTACAATTAGTGACAGCTAATGAGACAAATGAGACAGAGGTGATTAGAAACTCTCTCTTCATTCATTCATTCAGCTGATAGGACATTTGACATTTTTATCACAATATGTCAGGGACTATTTTTTTTACTATCGTAGCAATTGAAATTACAGGCACATATACGAGCATATAAACATGAAACACGTGATTCGAACTCACAAATAATGTTTAGGGTGCCGTATCACATGTGTACACTGTTTTTTAATGCCTTAAAGAACGGTAGTCGTCGCGCCACGCATGCGCGAAATATATGGGTCTCATATAAACAAAGATGGCGACTTTGATTGTTGCCCATATTAACGAGTACAAACTGAGAAGTTACCAACCTTTAATTAGGTATTCTTTATAGGTGATTGGAAGGTA